TACCTAGTGAATGCGCGTAATCACTGAATATTTCAGTGAAAACGCGTAATCCCTGTTTCACTCGGAGATTTCACGTAAACACTGAAATAATCAGGAATTACGTGAAATCCCTGAAAAATGGTCACAGTAATTACGCGTAATCCCTGATCAGACATGTGTAGTATAATATACTTTTGTAAAAGTTTATTCCTTAAATAGTCAGTTCGGTAACAGATACTCTCTCTCTCTCTCTCTCTCTTTCTCTCTCTTTCTTTCTCTCTCTCTCTCTCTCTCTCTCTCTCTCTCTCTCTCTCTCTCTCTCTCTCTCTCTTTCACACACACACACGCACACACACACACACTCACCCTCCCTCCCTCCCTCTCTCTCTCTCTCTCTCTCTCTCTCTCTCTCTCTCTCACACACACACACACACACACACACACACACACACACACACACACACACACATACACACACACTTACACACACCTGCTCCACAATCTAAAAACAAAGCATTAAATTTTTTTAAATGGCAGACGCCATTGTTGTTGTTGTTGTTTCAGTTTTCAGTTAAATACTTAAGACTAAAATCCATCGACGTCGTCACTTGTTACAACAATTGAGGCTGCTATGACAGCGTAAGTTACACCTAAGACCTGCTTTACGGCATTTACATCGCCTGGAACTACACTTTTTGGCATCAGTACAGTTGCATCTTGTGAAGCCTTGTCCACCAGAAGAGGATTGAAAAATCACCGCCGAATGCAGTGAAACTATTTGTTCGGTGTTTATGTCGTCAGTGTTCAGAAGACGCTCATGGCACAAATCGAAATGATTTCTGGAATACAAACCAGCTTTTACGGCTATCTTCTTGTCTGTCAATTATGACACCAAGGATATTTCTAGGATCGCCTCTCCCTCGATCAACAAGTGGAACTGGCATACAAACGATGTCTCCTAGTTTCCCATCTATGTTACAGTAAGAACACGTAGATCAATCTAGTTATTACGCGTAATCACTGAATATTTCAGTGAAAACGCGTAATCCCTGCACAGTGGCGGGGCTATTACGTGAATTCACTGAATGCTCAATAGTAAGAACACGTAAAATGATAGGTCTAATTTAAGGGATTTCGCGTAATCACTAGAAATTTCAGTGATTACGTGAAACCCCTGAGTGAAACGGTGATTACGTGTATTCACTAAAATATTCAGTGATTACGCGTATTCACTAGGTACGCATTCTTACTGTAACATATATACTTTCACAGTGTTGTCTCTGGGTGAATACAATAAGTTTGGCGAGCAGAAGATACCTCAAAAGAAATAGATCTAACTACCCAAAAAGTAATACCTTCAAAGGTTTTCTCAAAGAGGGTGGGTTTTCTGGGACTTGGTACACAATTAACCATAATGAAAGAACTCTATCTAGCTCACCATAACATGCCCGTTTTCACTTTCTTTTTTGATGTCTCATGATCCATTTAAGCAACCATACGTGGAGGACATGGGAGGGCGCATCCCCCTCCCCCAAAACTATGTTTGAAGGTCTGATTATTCCTCGATTCATTGCTGGTTAGACACTGCCAAAGGGTATAGCATCTAAACGTTTTCTTTTTCTATCTAAAAGATTATGTCTGCCTAAGCAAGTACGATCGGAAGTGTCAGAGGGCAGTGCAATCACGTACAGATCTAAATTATATAGTTATAGCCTTGGTTGATTACTTTTGATCCCCCATCTATACGAAATTACTGTATACCTTATTTCCTTGTCAATTTCTTCCATTCTCTTTCCTCGTTTGTCCGGGTGCCTCTGTCTATCTTAAGCACGAAAGAAAACAAACAAATGTAGAAGAACACGCACCTTTCCCCAATAAAGTAACAGCAATAACTAGAAAAAGAGAAGGTAACATTAGCCACATCAACAGGGGTGGCAATAGTAACAACAGCATTGACGCACAAGTACAATAGTGAAACATAGAAGTACACGGAAGCTAAGGCAAACATGGTCGAGAAGTCTGAAAGAAAACACGACAAGACAACTTAACCATACTATCTTAATGTGGAAACAATGCCCAATCTTAAACAAAACAGATGAATTGGAAATTCTCCAAAGCATGAAAACAAACATTGGAAAAATATTCTTATTTATTACTTTTAATATAGGCCTAGTTGTGCATTTAATAAAAAATATGACGCAATGTAACAAGTAAGTTGCTCACTAAAAGAAACAGTATGACAATATTGCAATATAAAAGGAATGTCTGAATGTTGGTCTAATTTTTAAAAAATACTTTAAGGTCAGATAGTGAAACCCATCTTTTAAGCACATTAAGAGTTTGTTTGAATGCAATTGATGTTCGCTTGAAACAGATAAAACAAAACCTTGAAAATATCAAACTAGAAAGAAAAAGTGAGGGCTGCTATAGAGGAGGAGAGGATAAAGAAACTGAAAGAATGATTATTAATTAATAGTGCAATTCTTTTTTTTTCATTTGCTTTTGAGACGGCAAGCAAACAGGGTGTAAAGCACTAGTGTGAACACAGTAGTTACAAACCTCTTTTGTAATATTTGGTAACCTAAAGAAAGTCCATTAATCTGCATACATTTAAGAGGAAGAAACATTAAAAAAAGATAATTTTAACTAAGTAACACAGTGCAAGAACAGAACTGACAGGGTGGTGGCTTGTTTATAATAATCATAAATCACTTTGCTGAAAGTGATGAGCACCTAGAAATACATCATGTAGCCTACATGTGCATAGTCATGTGGTTTATAGGTCTCCAAGCTGTCAGCATACCTTTAAGGGGACTCCTCATTGTATAAATATATTATCACAGAATATTCAACATGGACGGATAAATAACAGATTTCAGACAAAGCTGAACACTTGAAACTCCAGCCCTCATCACAGGTCACTTAAATGAAAGAAAATCATAAAAGTAGGGGAAGGATTGTGTGTGTGTGTGTGTGTGTGTGTTTGTGTGTGTGTGTGTGTGTGTGCGTGTGTTTGTGTGAGTGTGTGTGTGTGCGTGTGTGTGATGACACCGTGGAGGTGGAATCAGGCACTCGTCAATTTTTGGGCAGATGAAATTATTGGTACAATCTTAAAGCTTACTCTAACAACCACCTGTATAAGGTAATTAATTGTACAAACAGCCATTTCCCATTTCCAGCCTTTCATTTTTGGGTTTTTTTTTTAAACATTACAATGTCACTGTGTAGGAGGCCATCTGTCTACAACAAACACTTAAGCATTTCTTATTCGTGAAGTCTCAAATGACTTGCCGCCTACTTTGACTGCTGCCCTCCAAGAGAGTTTGTCAGCAACCAGGCTTTCCCATATCCAGGGATTTTTTAATGAAATCACTCAAAGATGTTTTCAAGGTGACTTTTACCCTTTTTTTAGTACGCCAACTTTATGCTTCCCTGAGGACAAGAAAAGAATACAGCCAATGAGGTTCTGAAATCAGGTATTCTAATGACATGGTCAGCCCAGCGAAATTGAGTCCTTCAGAGCTTAGAAAACAGACTCTCTGCAGTTATCCTTTTGAAAACTTTGGTGTCTAGTACTTTGTCTTGCCATTTGATGCCAAGAATTCTCCTGAGGCATTTCTTGTGGAAATTATTAAACTTCTTTGCATGACTTTGGTGCACTGTCCAGATCTTGGCATCGTACAACAGGGTTGGGTAAACTTTCAACTTTGTCTCTAGGTGAATGCCACAGCATTCCCAAACCCTTGCTCCGAATCTTCCACAATATGCACCAGTTTATTCATATACAAAGCTATTCCTGCAGCGGGAATCAGTGAACTTGTCACACGGTAAAGTCGACACAGCTGAAAAACGTGTGGCGAGTTCATCGAAAAAAAAGTATCCAAATATAACAGTGAACTCGTCACACCACCTCCCCCGTGTAAAGCCACCAGCCATCTTGTACCATTTTAGATTTGTTTTATTGCATACAGTAAGGGTATGCAAATTTTAACAGTTAACAGGTTTTATATATTGCACCCAAAAATGTGTCTGTTTTCTCTTCAAAAAGTTGAAACAGAAAGGATGACATGTGTAGATTTTGATTGAATAAACTCTGGTTTTGTATTTTAAATACAGGGTGATCCAAAAACAAAAACTGTACAAATTGTTTTGTAAATATCTTCCTCTATACTGAAGTTTTGTGTTTCAGATTTGAATATCATTTGGAAGCCAAAAGGAATTTGTCTGATATTATTTTTAGAATATGTACTGAATATTTACAGTGTATGTGGCTTAAAACACTCATGGTTTAGTAGGTCCTTGTGTTTGGACACCATTGAACATTTCGAACGACTCGTTAAAAAAGTGTCGAGTCCAAAGGGGGGGCATGTAGAGCACTACTTCTAGGAATTTCAGAATGAAATTGACAGTTTTTTTAAACTCTGTAAAAGAAATTAATCATTGTTTAAATGTTACAGGGATGGAAAATTAAATGTCAAAGAGAAAAGATAGAAAGAAGTCAACCAACCTTTTCACTTCCTTTACAAGATTTTTAAAAATTAGCGAAATTGGCGTTTTTGGGTGCTTTTTTCTGTAAGCCTTTTCCGTTTTCAAAAAAAATTTCTTCTTCATGGATTTTATGTCAAACAAATTCCTTTTGAATGAACTATGTCTATTCCAAATTACAGCCTTCTAAAAAACAATTTTTGTGCAAGATATTCAGAAAAAAGGTTGTACAGTTGTTTTTTTATCACCCTCTATATTATTAATTAAAGGTTGACATGTGTGGGTTTGCCTGCCAATCCAAGGTGACTAGCCACACGTTTTTCACAAGTATGAGTAGGCCTATGTGATGAGATAACTGTGACGAGATCACTGGAGGTGTGAGACAACTTTATCGTGTGACGAATTAACTGGAAGCCTCTGCATCGATGAGAACATTTGAAGATAGCGTACTACCAAGATATTTTAAGCTATCAACATTTTTCAGCGATACGTTATGTATTTTTGATTTCATAAGGGAGAGTCTGCAAATCACCAAGGACAGGCTGGAAGAGGTCTTCCATCTTTATTGTGCTTATTGTCAGTCCTAAGTTCTCACATGCATGTTAAAAAAGATCAACACAGTTTTGCATGCTGGATTCTTCATGAGCAAGCAATGCATAGTCATCAGCAAATAGCAGTTCACAGACAGGAATCAAGCTAGTTTTTGTTTTTGCTTGCGGCCTATGGGAATTGAAAACTTTACCACCCAGTCTGTGCCTGATATCAACGCCAGCATGGGAGCTCTGGAAGGCATCAAATATCACCGCTAAGAACGTTATGCTGAAAAGTGTTGATGCCAACACACAGACGTGCTACAATCCATTTGTCTCACATCCATTGCTCTTGAAACTGGTTTTCATGCTGTCATGAAATTGGAAAACCATAGCAATGAATTTTAGTGGGCAACTTGGGTAGCGATAAGATTATATTACAGCCCCGCTGAATATAAGCAGCTGCGTCATTTCTTGGGGTTATTAACATCAACAAATATCTGTACCCACATGTAAATGAATGACACTTACTTACTTTATCTTTTTCCCTTACTTCAAATAGCTGGATCAAGTGTCTGGCTTTCAAAATTATATAAAGATAACAAAACCAAAGCTATCACTGCAGAAATAATCAATAAGGGTACATTAAAAGTGTTCATTCACACTAAAAATTTCCTCACATCATTATTGGTATAGTGTGAAGGTTCTTTTATCTTAAAAGAAAGAAAATAGTTCACAAAGTGGTGCAAGAAGAACTTTTGGGAGGCTTTGAAGGCTTTTGGGGTGAAGGTGATCTTTCTTGTTTTGAAGGTGAAGAAATGTCCTTCTTCTCAGGTGAAGGTGTCTGTTCAGATCTTTCCTGGTTTTTGCCTGAAGCCGGTTTACTCTGAGGTGAACTTTTTGCTTCTGTTGCTTTCCTGGGGCTCACTGAACGTGCTTTCTGTGGTGGAGGGCGAGATTGACCTGCCGATAGAAAAACGCAGTGGTCATACATTAAAAATAGCCACCACACAACAACCCCCCCCCCCCTCCTCACCGCAGAACAGATTTCAATAACACAAATTCTGGATAAGCAGCTGCGTGAAGGGTTAGCCAAAATGTATGTCATATGTTGTTGTAGTTTCCTTTTTCAAGGATCTTTTTTATCTGAATCCTTCCCAGAGCTGAGGGTCTTCAAGCTTTATGAGATGAATAGAAATGAGAAATATCCAATGCATTATACGAATGTGTGAGTGTGTTTGAGTGTGTGTGTGTGTGTGTGTGTGTGTGTGTGTGTGAGTGTGTGTGTGTGTGTGTGTGTGTGTGTGTGTGTGTGTGTCTGTGTGTGTACGTGTTGGTGTGTGTGTATGTGTGTTCGCACGCACATGGGTTTGTCTATATATAATATCCATGTATGTTTTTATACAGGTGTTTAATAACTATAAATAAACAATCTTCATAACGGATTCTCATAGCACAAATTTGTTAAAAAAGGGGGAAGGGTGCAGTTCAGTAAATTTTCAAAAAAGAGCTTTTCCTCGACGCTCAACAAAGGCTGAATACTCACTTCTTCAACAAGGCACTGTCATTTGTGTTGCTTTCATTCTCTTGGGAGCCTTTTTTCACAGGTCCCATTATCTACCATTGCGTTAAGCAGCTGTCCATCCATCCATCTATTGATCCATCCATCCATTCATCCGCCTATCTACAAGCATATGATTTTCTGTCTGGCTGTATTATGTATTGTGAAACGTGGACATCCAAAGAAGGATACAAGTACTGGAGATGAGATGTGTTCGCAAACTCCTCGATATCTTGTACAGAGATCACACAACTAATGAGGCTGTGAGAACCAAAATTGGAAATGCCATTTGGCTGTGAAAGACCTCCTGACCAATAAAAAGACACAAACTGAGGTGATGCAAGCACGTCATACGATTATCCGAACTGGACAATTCTACAGCAAGCAACACAAGAATGGAGAATAAGAGGCAAACAGAGGAAACGATGGGAAGACCAATCAAAGAATGGACTAGCAGTGACTAGAACATCATACTGTGGAAAGCTGAGAACAATGAGGAATGAATTAAGCTGGTCGCAAAATCTAGTTGTGCCCCAACGTAAGCCAGACTACAGACTAGGTGAAGGAGAAGGAGAATGTTCATGTGTGTCTGTTTGCCTATGTCATCATCCATCTATTTGAGTTGAGCAAATGATCTTTGTTTTATATATATGTGTATGTGTGCACATCCACACACATGCCTGTACATGTTTGTGTCAGTATCAGTGTCAAAGAAAGAACTCATCTAGACAACAAAGGAAGAATATGATTCTGGACTTCCGATTACACTCACCTGTCTAGATGCAAACACAAGAAACGAAAAAAGCCAATGCTAGAGCTCACTCTCATTGTGAACCCTTTTTTTTTGGTTGCTGAAATCAGAGTTTTACCTGACTGGAAAACTGCAGATGGGCGTGACCATGGTCCACCCTGAGATGACTGCTGCGAAGGGGGAGGACGTATTGCTCCTTTCCCATTCTCAGAAGTTTTGGATTCAGTTTTGTTCGACCTTGCAGCAGTTCCAGATGACGTTTTTGACAGTTGAGAAGAGGAGGATTGCTGAGAGATTGGACGTTGTGTGTGTTTACTATTTGACTTTTGCTGAGATGGAGGGGGGCGGAGTCCCCCTTCTTGTTTTTGCTGTGATGGCGGAGGGCGGGGTTTTTCCTGTTTTCGTTGAGATGGTGGAGGGCGGGGTCTTTCAGGTTTTTGTTGAGATGGAGGAGGGTGAGACTCTACTAGTTTTTGCCGAGATGGTGGAGGGGAAGGTTCATGAGGCTTCTGCTGCTTGGTCTTCACCGTTGTCCTTCTGACGGATGCTGCAGCAGGAGTTGCTGACTTTTCTTCTACAGTCATCCTTTCCTCTTTCTCAGGCACTTTACCAAAGGGTACAATGTTTTCTTTCTCTCTTTGTTCTTTACTGCTTTTTTTACTTGAGTCCTCATTATCCAATTTAGACTGAACTGGTTCAACCACTACTTTCTGGTCACTTTTTAAAGCTTTATTGGCAGGTTCAGGTTCAAATTCTCGTTTTTGACTTTTATTATCAATACTTTCATGACTTGGCTCCCTCTTGCCTGATTTAAATTGCACTGATTTACCCGTGTCTGATGACGTAGGGCCTGGTTTCTTGTCACTTTCTGATGTTGTTTCCTTCTTCTCTTCTGTTTTGGCTGCCAGTTCTGGAGCATGCTCGTTGATCTTGTCTAGAAGCTCTTGGAACTTTGGACCACTCCATTCTGTCTGAGCCTTTTCCTGGGGAACAAGGAGCTGGCATTTATATGTTCTGTGGATTTGTGTTATTAACATCTAAAAAAATAAAAACAGTTTTGTTCTTTTTTAACTTCATTTTAAGAAAGGAAAAGGCTAAAACTTATCTATTTCATGTAAAACACTCGAGAGAATAATTGATTCTAACCTTACTATCTGCATTGTTCAAACTTAGGAATGATACATGATGAATTAACTTCTGAATAATAAAATAAATTTATGAAGTTGCTAAAGAGTTTAAAAATCATAAACAGATTAATTGCAGGAAAAATAGCTACGACATCTTAACCATCACTATTCACCTCTATTCATATTTCTCTTACAATTTTACTACTATGCAGATGTCCTGTTTGTAGACAAATGAAAAGTACTTTACTGTAACAAAAAAAAAGGAATGGAATTACCAGTGGATATATCAAATCTACTCGTGTAACAACATCTTTCTGGGATTTTTGGAAGAAACTACGCAATTTATGATACTTACTGAAAATATTATAGCAATTTTCTATTCAAAGATTATATTTTGAAAATAAAGTGGAATGCAAGGAAATAAATTCTTTGAGCACAGCATGCTACAAGATAAAACGTTTTAAAAAGTGGATATCATGTAGAAATATCTGACACAGATGTGACGCATTGTTAACACGTGTGACCTCCAGGTACCTGTGCAAAATCGATATAGAGCAGTTGCGTCATGACCATGCTCATTGGTCCAGCTGGCGGCCACGTCATCTTCTCCAGGAGAAGTGGAACCAGCGGTTTCTTGAGCGCGTCTGCCAGACTGACCTCTCTCCGGCAGTTGGCGGACAGAGAATATTTCTGGGTCACACACGATAGGACCACTCTACTGCCGCGTACACCACGGTCAATCTTGTCGTAAAGGGAGTCGCCACCACCCATCTGTTTGATGTCCAGCCAGCAGGTGAAGCCCAAGGAGGTGAGTCGCTCATAGAGCTTGATGATATTTGGCTGTTTTCCCCACTGGTAGGAGATGAACACGTCTGGGGACTCGGCTGCCTAGAGAGGGGCAAAGGGGTGTGGAAGTGCAAGTACACAGAGAGAAAACAGGGATTACTACTTTAGAAAATTTGTGCACAGGTAATTTTCTAAAAATACATCGGTCTGTATTCTTAAAAACTTGACAGAAAAGAAAGCAATAAAAATTTGCTGAGCAGGTAAAACTTTGTAGCTTTTTTAAGGTAGCAAAATGCCTGAAAGTGAAAGGGTAAAAATTACTCTGCTCTTCTTCTTTGCCTAAACAAGCTATGATCCACAAAAAACCCTTTTTGTCCTATGTCTTGAAATTCCTCAGACACAGGTTCATACCTTTGATGTAATATTATATAAAAATTTGTACCATTCTTTGTTTATTTGTTGCTGGATTTATTGGGTTCAAATATTTCAACTTTCATATTACCTGTTTATCGAGTTCTTCTTGTTGCTTCTGAGAACCTTTGCCTCCGCCACGTGTCTTGCTCTTGTCAATCTTGATTTCTTCCACTTTTGGCATCCACCAGTTTCGGTACACTAATGGAAACAAATTATGTTGAGTGAGCAGTGACTGGCTCAACATGAAGAATAAATCCCACAGTATTAAAAAAAATTTGGTTCACACAGAACAGGTATGAAAAAGAAACTAACTAATGTTCAACAACAGGGAAGGACAAATGGATTAAGACAAAATACAGGTAGACTGAGACAAAGAGCATAAATAATTCTAACTCTTGCTATAACAACGAAACCCAAACAAAAGAAAAGAAAAGAAACATAAACTGGTCTCTGGAAAACATTAGTCAGTCTTGCTGGAACATGATTCTCCTCACAAGATAATGACTAAAGAGTATTTCTAAAACTTACCCTTGTAAGAATAAATAATGTATCTCCGATTCAGCAAACTCGGATTTAACGAAAACTTGTGATTCAACGAAATGTGATAGATTCCCTATTTTTTAAAAATTAATTGAAATCAACAAAATAACTTCAATTCGAACACATAAATGAGCAAATTCTAATTCAATGAAGTCACATTGTACCATATCAACTCTATTCAAAGAAACCATCAATTGCACTTGCACTGTGGATCATTATTCATTTAGCCTAACTTATTGCATACAATTTATACTTCCAATTAGAAGCCTTCCTTTAGCACTAACAAGTGCGTTTTCGATACATGTGTACAACATGACGCATCTTAGTGTGTGCCAGGGTTAAGAGAGGTCGGACAGGTGGTTGTTAGTGCGTGTGTCGGAAGGGAAAAATCTAGACATGAGATGTAAATCTACATATTGAATTGTATGCTCGTCTGTGGAAACAGACGTTGCCGTATGCTAAACCCTACATTGTAACACAATTTGTTGCTCACATTGCCATAAAACAACACTCGCATTCAATAAAATTGAGGGTCAGGCCCAATGACTTCATCAGACTCTAGTTTCACTGTAATGGATGCAGTACATCTTTGTTATGCTAAAACATGGATGCAAACATATAAGCACCAGTTCTCCACATGCCCTTTTCCTCCCATTTGTCCTTGCTTTACAGTTCCTTAAATAACTTAATAATTCATGCTACAACTTACCAGGCTGTATCTTTCCCTCATCGGGGGGCAGACCAAGCATAGAGAGCTGCATGAGAAGTTCCTGAAACTTGTCCCCTGGCCAGTAGCGCTGGTCATCTAGTTCCTCTCCCGCCCGCTGATAGAAACGAATGAACAGGAACTCGGAGAAGATGGGACCCATGGAGCCAGGAGGTGGCCACACGCACTTCTCCATCAGTAGTGGGATCAGAGATTTGTTTAGGCCAACAGATAGGTTCACCTGGAACATGAGAGTGAAAGTGAAAAAGTGAAACTAGGGTAACAGTCGATCGAAATACAAAAGCACAAGTACCATTTACAAATCAAAGGAATGTATGATTTCTGTTAAGTGTTGAGGGGAGATGCAGCTCTTTCCATTGGGAACTTTTGATACTATGACCTCATAAACATTTCTAAAAGAGACTCCAAACTAGAGCTGGGTCCCGAGCACGAGAACGGAACTGAATCGCCACTCTTGCCTGCGGAACGTGATTCACGATTCACTTCAGCGGAACACGGAACAGTATCGCCAAACGATTCCCGATTCACTCCCCTGTCGCTGTCACCACCATGTCGCTTGTTTTACCTACTGCTGAGTCGAGTCATGAGCGCAAGAACGGAACAGAACACTTAGTATGGCTCCCCTTATTTTACAAAAGATGGTATAGTCTAACCCCCCTATTAAAACAAAATGAACGGGGTCCAAACAATAGACTGAAGGAATTTTATGGAGCCATTGTTTTAGCGAATCATGGGGTTGGGGGGGGGGGGGTGAATTTATGGGGGTCACTAATTGAGGTCAGTTGATAGAGCAGCGCAACAAAGGGTGTGGGGCGGAGAGGATGGCGGAACAACAAGAGTGGGACTCGCGCTCGCCAAGTGGCGTTGAAATGACACTGTTCCGTTTCAGTCAGTGTTCCGCCACAGCTCCATGAGCGCTCGCGTACTCGCGATTCATTGAAGCCGACTGAATCGTGAATCGCCACTCTCAAATTTGACGAGCAGGATCCAGCCCTACTCCAAACCCTTTACCACATTGCCACTGGCAGCCTTCCAGTTTAACCCAGGAAATGTGGTGATGAAGCGTTACGGTACATTGCTTCTTGAACAGGCAGGAAATACATTGGTAAGAGGAAGAACTACACATGTCATGTGTTTATGGACAGATTCAAGGCACATAATCATATAATTAAGGTATTGGAATGCTTAAGTATGCATTATGCACATGTAACACTTGCTAACTGAATTGCAGATAGATTTATTTACTGGATACTGGAGATCAAGAATGTTTGAGGGAGAATAACAATAAGAGAAAAAGATACACAGATCAAAAACATGCATCTCAGCAAGCTGACTTTGACAACGATTTCTATGTCTTGTTCAACAAATGAAATTCTGTAAGAGGCTAGTTTTTGCAACGAACTTCCATTTTGATAAGACATGGTGGGACTGCCAAACTGCCTTGATTTAGACAAATCTAATATTGAAACCCAATGTGTTATCAACTGATCTAGAGGTTCTCCAAAAACAAGATTATATAACTGGACATCACAGCACAATGTTGGGTACAATGCAGGAAATCTCCCTGTTTATTTATTAGGACTCTTTGACTTGTCACACACTGCCTTTCTTGAAAGTTAGGATGTGAAAAAAAACAACTGAGTATTGACGCTCAACTAACAAACTATAACGAGACAATTAACAACATTCTAAGTACACCCCCCCCCCTCCCTCAACCCTTCCAAACTGGTTTGATAAGTTTTGTTTGAGTTTATCACATTCTCTTTTTTTACAAAAATATTTTTTCATACTCACCTCCCTATTACAGTTTGGTGATTTGGCGTATTTTTCTGTTACACAACTGATGACAACTTTGGCGGCCCGAATACCGTTGTCAATCTTTTCGAACAGTTTGTCTCCTCCACCCATCTGACCGATGTCCAGCCAGCACTCATAGCCCGCCATCTCCAGGTGCTGTTTGAGTAGTTTCACTTCCTCCTGGTGACCCCACTGGTAGCTGATGAAGATGGGGGGAGGGGAGGCGTACTCAAAGTCCTCGTCTTCCACCACCGCCTCTGTGAACACAATTGAATACAACTGTTTGCTTTGCTTCCTCAAGCATTTAATCTCCAGTTGGGGCAGAAATGTTAAAGTTATGTTTCCCAAGGGGAAAACATGAAATTAAAGAAAGTAATATGAACATATGTCCAAAAAAAATCAATTTTCAAGAAAATGGATGATCATGGAAACAGGTACTGGAAACAAATAATGTTTAGAGAAAAAGGGCTTGGAGTTTGTCCTTAAAAATTGGAATTGACACCGAAATTTTAAGACGACAAGTAGCCTACATGAAGCTCAATTCAAGCCAATGAGCGAAATGATCTTCTACAATAACGAAGATCATCTATGATAAGAACCACAAGATGAGAAGAAGAGAAAGATGACAAACCAGCATTTTTCATAGCGTTCTCCACAATGATAGCTGCATCCATCCTGTTCATTTCTTGCAGTTGTGTCAGGATGGCAAAGCTTGCCTCACTAGTTTTGCGAGTGGCATACCTGTTATAGAGACAAGAAAATTAGGCCTATAAGACAAGGAGTTCGGATTATCTGTCTGTTCTCTTTTCTATCACTTCCCACACTTACGTTAGAGTACACAGTATACTTGAGTAATGGAATGCCTGAAGTAAAGGCAGTTTGGTTTAAACCACACATTGGCACAAAAAGGCTTGCATCCAACACAATCCACTTAGCATTGTGGTCAATCAACAAAAAACAAAATTTTCGCTACAAAAGTAGACACACTGGTTTTGGGTGTATATCAGGGTAAACAAGTACATATATATCAGAGAAACTTTATGAGAAATGGTTGCGACCCCCATCATTACAGAGACAAGAGGGAAAGTAGTCATTATTATTGTAATCATTCCAGAACTCTTAGCCCAAGTCATTTCGCACTGCAATAACTCTACCCACAATACTGAATTGGAATGCATTTTAAAGTACTTATGCATATATTTAGGCTTCCATTTAAGAAAGAATCATGAGTACACGTACCTGGTACTCGAACCATTCGCTATACTATATGAAACAAGTAGAAAAATTATTTACAGCTGAATCGGAAAGTCTTTAGGGAAGAGTCCCCATGGTGATGCTAATTTCTAACTAGCTACTGATTAAAAGCATTCAAATGAACCTGACAAAATCTGTTACAAATACATGAAGAAGCCATTACTACAACATAATGTCTTTTCTCTGAACACTAATCCTACAATTATATTACAAAAAGAGTTGTGACATGGTTCAGGAGTGTCAGCGAGGACCCAAAGATGATGTTATGAATCATTCTTAGTACTGAAAGAAAACTAAAGATGAATCAAGTTTCTTCAATAGATGCAAGTGACTAGCAACAAAACTGAAAAAGGCGTTTGATTTTTTGTTGTTCATTTGCGTAAAGAGGCACAAATCAACACAATGATCTTTCATTTATCACTGGTAAGATGCAAGAAAGGCAAGCAAACATAAAAGAGGGAAAGGAAGGGAACAGGACAGACCAGTAGTGTGCTTCTACCACCTGCAAGAGGTGAGGGCAGGGGTAGAAACAAAAGATCATAAAAACATGCTTATCGGATATACTCACCATTCATTGAGCATTGCCATACATGGGTCTGCCTGCTGGGCCCAGCTTCTGATGTCATCATTGCTATAGCCCAGTCGAGAGCTTAGCAGACGCCAGTCATGCTCAGACTCAGGGTTCAACAACTTGGACACATCACGTGACCAATATGGAGCATGGCTTAGCGTCTGAAGAGGAGGAAACATGGTAAGAAATGCAATAAAAACCCAGCTTTTTTAGCTTTAAAACCAAATGAGAGAGAGAGAGAGAGAGAGAGAGAGAGAGAGCGAGGAGAGAAAGATGGTTTCACATGGAAAATCTACAAATGCACATATATTCTAAAAATAAATCATTCCTCTCATTAAAACTGGTAAAAGGTGAAGTTTTAATTGATGCGTGATTTGATGCTCACAGCTGATACCTTCACTTCCCTGCTGAATTCATATTATTACTGTATCAACAGCAACAATGTCAAAAGTAGTCAAACAATTCCAGTAATCCAAACAACAGCACCAACATCATGATACTACCAGTCACTTATAATGGCAAAAAGAACAGAGAAAACCATCTTCAACATCACTCTCACTCTCTCTGTCTCTCTGTACCTCTGTCTCTTCCTCCCTCTCTCCCCTCAACTTTCATACAAAAGACCTCCAACACCAACACATACCCGCACACATGTGCACACATATATATGCACACACACACACTTACACACACAAACACACACAGGTATGCAAGCACATACATGAATGTGCACTTTCACAAACACACAAGTGCAAACACACATCCGCACTCACAAACAAACACAAGCAAAAATGTACACATGTAAACACATGCTCACACACACACACACAAACACATCAAAACTCTAAATATTTACCTTTTGGTCAATCTCTTCCACTTTGGCTACTGTCTCCTCTACTGTCTCCTCAACCTGGTCTAACTTTTGACCCTGTTCATTGACCTCATTTTTTACAGTATCCAGTTCCTGTCCTTGTCGATCAACGTCACTGCGGACTTCGGCAATGGCGTCTTCTGTTTCTTCCACTCTGCCTACGAGGTCATTCAGTTCATCCTGTTGGCCTTCCAGTTGCTTGCGTAAGTCATCAGGGCTGGAAGCAGAAATAAACAAATAAACAACAAATATATGTGTCTTGATGCGGTGGAATCCGGCACTCATCAATTTTTGGGCCTAAGGAGTTATTAGTGTCATCTTAAAGGTTGCTCATTTGCCTTGCTTTCGATGAAGAAGATATCCATTTATCTCAAATATACCTCGAGATATTTGCAATTGAAGGAGGTGGGGTCGCCTGGTTTCAGAAGTAAAATTAGCGAAAAAATGGTAGTCAAAGTTTGGTGACTTCCTTAGCTTAAGAGTCCTTGGAAACTGCAAATAATTCAAATTTTTAAAGCCTTTAATCAATGTTTTTCCATAAAATTCGCACATAACAGTGTTTTTAAATGGACATACAAGATGTTGAACAAAAAACCACAAATTTGAAAAAAAATTCCAAACTGGCCGAAAAATGCCGATTTTTAGTAGGCCTATCTCATTTATTTTGATGAGCGCCTGATTTCATTACACTGCCTCACATATCATCGTAAGCAATCCACTTTAGTCCAAATGTTTAGAATTTAAAATTTTTTTTAACCATCCCAAAGCTCTATCAAAGATGCACCTTTCAACATTATCAAAATGCAGTTTAATGTTATGGTCAAAGCTTACAATGTTCTTGCTTTTAATGATTCCTGATCTCATAGGAACAACACAACAAAACTAGTTTTTTGTCTCTGGTATAAAGATTACCCAAATGGACTTGAGTGGATAGCTTGTGACACCAATGATTTGTCCTATGTTTGCTTTTCTCCATGAAACAAGATGCTGCCTTTTCTCAAACAGCACTACAACTTGAGTACTTTGAAGAATTAATCAACAAAGAATTCATGAATAATGAGGGCCGAATGAAAAAAACAAAAACATTTCGCAATCCTTGCCCCCACCCCCCCTTCCCCTTTCTCCAAAACTAATGCATGCTCTATGCCCTTCTGCCCTGGTTGAAAAGAGAGAGAGAGAGAGAGAGAGAGAGAGAGAGAGAGAGAGAGAGAGAGAGAGAGAGAGAGAGAGAGAGAGAGAGAGAGAGTAGGGTATCAGTGGATAAATATATATATACGTTCAGAATCATGAAAATCTCGCTGTCATGTTCTTTGGAATATTCAGTGCTACCTTTCTTTAATTTTTTTAGGTCTGAAGAGGGTGGTTTCTTTTATAAAGTATCACTAAGACTTGTATCACATAAATTATATAGATAGAAAAAAACAGAAAAAAAGAATGAGAGCACTGAAGAAAGGCTTACGTTTTTCCGTCAATCATATCCAGTATGGTTTGCTGCAAGCTTTGACCATCAGCATCAGCAATCTGCAGATTCTCCACCTCAGACCGACGTGGCTTCAGTAAGTCTGGATACTTGAAGCCGATGATACGAGCTGCATTCAAAGAGGTCAGTAGATTTGCCTTGTCCTGGTTTGTCCTGACACTTTTAAAGAGAAAGTCCAGGGCCTTGGGGGCAACTTTCTGCATTCAGACGAGAAACCAAAAGATTTCATAAACACTTTTAGCACTCTTTTCAGAGGTCAAGTTCTTTCTGTCAGGATGTAAAAAGGACTAACCTACATGATCAGATGCTTTGCAGACTTGAACAGATCCTGTAAACAGAGCTTGAACTAAAGAGAAATGAAAGTTCTTTTATGTCTCATACACTTTCAGTAATTGTCAGAATAGCCAGAGCTTTTCTTCAGCTAAATGTGTCCCCAGTACATCACGAGATTTGTTAATTTAATCCAATCATCAAAATAGCTAACTAACCACACAGAATCTGCCACTGAACCTAATCAACTGCAAGCAACACAGAAAACAACAAACTAATATAAAAGACATAGGTACATCCTTGGCTAACAGGTTTCTATCCATTCGCTGTTGTCACTCATATGTCTTGGTAAGCTCAGCTTTAATTTGTTACATGTCTGGTTGGAATCTATGTTCATGTGAGAATGGTATCCATGTTCTTTATCCTGCCAGAGACATATTATTAGAATTATCTGTGATATGTTCTATAGGCTTCCATTTATATAATTTATGAGAATTCACCAACCCAATAATAAAACTATACAGATAAATTCTTTATAACTCTGACCTTATCGTGAAGAGCCAAAGAGCTGATCATGTTGTTGATCCAGGAAGACAGCATCGGGTTCAGTCCTGAGGTGTCCATTAACTTATCTATGTGTTTGACCATGGCCTCTGGACGTCGCTTACACAGTTCTTCCAATATTTGCAGCAATGTCACTTGGTTGCCCATGTCTTCTTTAGACTTCACCAGTATAGCACCCATGTCTTTTTCTATGAAAATCTGCTCCAACAGAAGGTATTTGGATTGAGTTAATACTAATGTATTACAATGCATTTATTTGTGTAATCCATCCATCCTGTCTGTCTGTCTGTCTGTCTGTCTGTCTGTCTGTCTGTCTGTCTGTCTGTCTG